CCGGTATCGCAAACTGTCCGCCATTTTATTTATGGTCGGCCAATTGATTGAATTAGTGGCCCCAGAGGCGTTCGCCCGATACCGACTTGTTTCATATAGATGAGAATTTATACCTTCAACTTCGATCGTTAATTTTGATCCCTTTTCATTGCCATTGAGAACTTTACGTTCATATTTTGATTATTTTACTACAACATACGGTGTTGAGCTTTTCTGTGGATTGTTTTTTTTTTGTTTTTGAACAAGCATACGATAAAACTATAGAGAAACACTGCACTAATTTTATTTTGATGTGATTACAAAAACCAAATCTTAAAATAGTGCCTACGATTATAAAGAAAGCAAAAAGTGAGATTACTGATCTAGCCGAAAACAAATGACAATATCTAAATATTCTATTATTCCGAACTTTAACAATAAATGTAAATTTAAAAATAAATTGAATTAGTACCTTAGTACCGTATTAGTACCGTAAAAATAAATTGAATTCCAATAATTTAAATTAAGGTTATTAATTATATTTCCGTATATAACTTATTTTTAATACTTATTTGAATTTGGAAACTTCTTAAACTATTTTTGTTAGAGATTTTAAGTATGAAGTTAGGACTCTCCAACAACTTGAAAGCTGGCCTGTTGTTATACATATTATCAGCTACATCGACAATATTTTGTTGAAACTATTAAGAGTCCATTTCCTTTGATAGACTGTAGACACGACCTATCGAGTTTGGCTTAACCCGGTTAAGTTTATTGAACCGTAGAGATAAATTGAATAGCGCAATATCCTAAGTGTCATCCCAAACGGAGACGTGCATAGAAACTACAGTTAATGAATATTTTAGCAGAATAGAGTTAATGAAGGAAACCTCCTTCGTCCCGGGTTGATAGTTTGATTACACAGAACTTGACGTTAAATCGGGATATAGAGTTAATCTGGATATGCACTGTTTTTTTCCGCCGGGTTTCAAGGTGTCGCCTACTCGAGAAGTCCCGGGTTCGAATCCCGGTGGGAGCAGATGTTTGTGTGATGATCACGAGCATTTGCCCTCCAGTCATGGATGTTTAATACGTATTTCCGTATAAATATCCTTATATATGTATCATTGTATATGTATTGTATCCGACACCCTAGTATCCCATATCATAAGCCTACAGAGCTTACTTTGGGACTAGGCTAATTGGTGTGAGTGTTGAAAATATTTATTTAAATCTAAAGAAAATATAACTAGAAAAAAATCCACGCGGACCAGGCAGCAAACGGGACCCACCAGACTGGTCCGCGTGGATTTTTTTCTAGTTATATTTTCTTTAGATTTAAACATCAAGCAGTTACAAGCTTTAAAAAAAATATAAATATTTATTTATTTAGTGTATATCTTACTGATGAGTTTGCTGTTATTTTTGTTGATAAGAGTTATATGGATATTAAAAGCGATTTTTATGAACATTGAAGAACTTAGTAGTAAGATTTAAAACCTTATATTGTTTACAGTTGTGGTTGTGATTACCTTTGATGATGTTGTATTTCTGTTAACGAATGGAGTAAGGTCGAAAAGTGGGACTAACTAAGTGGTACTTTTTGTTAATTCTACTTTGAATTTCCTTTAAAGCTAAAAAATATGTTTTATTTCTTACTTTTTAGTGATTTTATTTTAATGAAGTTGGTTTAACCTAATCACAATAAACAAGAAAGTTATATCCATATTTCTTGGTGTATTCTAAAAAGGAAGTTTATTATTATTGCCTATTTTTATTTATAATTTGACTTACTGCCTAGGTTCATATATCTCTCCATTTATTAAAGTTTGCTAAATAAATGTGTTATACAGTATAAATTGAAATTGTAATTGCTCTTATTTCTCATACTATTAATTTGTGCGGCTTATCTTTCTTACGTGGTTATTGATTAAAGTGTCTACGTTTATCTGCTTCTCACATCTCAGAGGTATAACATTTCTTAGAGATATATTATGATTGTGATGTTTCAGATTATAGCAATACATTTTAACTACTACAGTAATAATAAATTATTTTATATTAGTTACCTGCTTTCCCTTGGCTTCGGTACTTTTTTTAATGTTAAAAAGGTAGCAAACAAACAAACAGGCGCACATCATCGCATAAATTGAAACCTCTGTGGTTTTAAGATGCGATTGATCACAACATTAAAATTATATTTCTTTGAAACTGGTAATAATAAAAAAATAAAAAATAAACAAACGTATGGCCCACCTGATGTTAAGCGGCCACCATAGCAAGACGTTTGCGATACCAAAAATATCACTCGCACCATTGCCTACCCTTTTTTTGTGTCTGGGAAATGCCTTACGCATCCTTCATCCACTGGGGGAGCGAGAAGGTATGATTTTTTTTATGTTATAGGGGGGGGGCATACGAGCGACTCATGCGAGCATGTGGGACTCCTCCCTGTTCATTTCAGCCAGGCCTGTGGCCGGGTGAAATAAACAGGGCCCTAACCTAACCTAACCTAACGCCCTGAATAGGGCCAATAAAAACCAGAAAATATTCCTGCGCTGTCACCCGACACGCACTATGAGGACCATTGCCTACCGCGACCCAATCCCTACACCCCGTGGAACCTAAGTAGACTATAGTTATTGTTCTCGAGCATGTACCCATTATACATAATAAACCTTCCGTGCAAAATTTATGAATAACAGATCAGTAGTTTTTTAAATCATCGTGAACATACAAACAGCCAGACACGTCAAATGACTTTGTTAATACACTACTATGATAAATGCATGTATTCAATATCGAACGGTAATCTAGCGAATTGAAATCTACCGTATAGAAGACCACAGCCAAATAAACTTTTGGCGGTGTTGTGATTCTTTTTCCTTAAAGGGTTCGAAGGTTCTATTCCATCTTTTTTCACAATTGTGGTACTTAGCTTCAGCAGCAACTAAGTCATACTCATTAAGTAAAATATGAATTTTCTAATTATTAAAACCGCGATATCTCACGAATGGTGAGTCGTTTGAGAAAATTTGACTGGACCATTTTTGTAGAGGATTGTATGGTCTACAACTTTTGTTTGACCTATTTTCTTGATAAAACTTACCATTTTCGAGAAAAATATAATAATTTTGTTGTCGTTAACCTTGAATTATTTTTTCAGAAGTAGGATCGAAGGGGCTGTTTGACATTTTCTTTATAATGATGTATTTAAAGTCTCTGCCAATTTTCAGCTCTATGCGAATTATTCCTAAGTCAAATGACTATTTTGACGCATTTTTCACTCGGCATATTTTAGCTTGTAGTCCACAAGTTAAAATATGCCTAGTGAAAAATGCGATTCGTTGCGAGATTCAACACTCCCATCCAGTAGTTCGAGATTAGTTTTCTGCGTTGTCACCACGGCACAGTTAGGTAACAAGACACGTGACTCGCATGTCCCAGCATCCCAATTGACACGTCCAAACCGGGGCGTGTGTTGAATCGTTCCAGTTGTAATGAAATAGGCAGTGGGTGCCCACGGTCGGGATTATTGAGTACCAGTTTATTTGGGTTACTTACTGTCTGTGTGTTTACGCTGTGGTCACGAATGTTTAAATTATGCACGAGTTAGATTAGCTCGAGAGAACATATTGAATTCTGTTTCGACTTCGAATTTTGCAGGTTTTTAATAGAGTTTTATTATTTATACGAAGACAATACATTAAAATAACACAAACTTAAAAACTATATAGCTCAACCTACTTACCTACATAAATAAATAATTAACGAAATAAAAAATATATCACCCCCAGCGCCGCCATCAGGAATGGTGCCCAATAGGCTGGCAGCATTGCCGCGTTGGATGGCAAAGCTGATCCGTTGACCAAGATAGCTGCCAGCCTTTTGATCACCAGTCACTACGGTGAGCCTCTTAGACAATTCCTTAAAAAGGAAACGAGCGCTTGGACCCCATGGGCCCATAGTCTCAACACCAAACGGCACAAATATGTAGTTCTCATTGAGAGCTGAATATTTGCGCCGCTTGGAGCACTCCGCAGGTCGATTGTTATTCTTAATCAAATGAAATGTTATCTGCAATAAGTACCCCGAAAGTGACATAAGTGTCAAAGCACTTTCGTCACTAAAGCGAAGCTTGGCTCTACCAGCAAGTGAAGCTTCTTGGAATGCGTTATTATAAGTCTAGAAGTTTTTGAATGTGCTTAATCTATCTAAAGATATATTTTGCCTAATAACCTGCATGGTTATTAGTAGCTGTATTTTCTGCGCTGCCAGTTCAGTGTGAATGATTTGTATTAAGTGGGTAATATATAATGCTTTCTCAACAAAAATGTTACAAATTAAATCGCTACCGAAAAAAGAGATTATTTAAGTATTAGAAGCTATGAAAAGCACTGCAACTCAGTAATGTTCACTTTTGAGGGAATATTTTTTTTTTTTAACAGAATAATTACTTATCTGTAAAACTATTTAAGTTATTAACTATTTATTAGAATTCATCGTTTAATGATGCATTATATTTTTAATAATCAAACTAAAAAGTATAAAAACAATTAATGTTAGAATTAATTAAATAATTTTAACCAAAGCTTAAAACTTATCAATTTCTGTGAAAAGCTTACCTAATCATCAAACAAAAATCTTACAATATTTTATTTTCGAATTTTAATTGGAGTGATGTAACTAATGAAAAAGTATTTCCATTAATCACGAAAAATATGAGTCTGCGTACCAATGATAAATATCCCTAAAATTTCAATAAAAATATTTTTTACTTAATAATATAGTATAATATAAATTATACCAATTCTGTTTACCACGAAACAAACAAAGCTCAATTACTATTCTCACAAAGTGTTTGTAATAGATAGCACTTATCATTAGGGACGTTGGAATCATCATCAAGCTTTTCTACAATCCGCAAAAGCTCGTACGGAGTCGGCGCGAAATGACAATTGGAGTGGGGGGCCCAGTGCCCTCAAAGACATCTAGCGAGGAGGTTGTGTCGCTTTTCGCTCCGTACACATCGCGATGTTTCGAAATATTCATACGGATCCTCTATTGGGACAAACTTCGAGTGAATTTCAAAAGTAACGTCCAATAAATAAACAAAAGTGAAGTTCTTCATTCAGTTTTGTGGTAAAAATATGTAGTGTAATAAGAAAGTGCGAATATTTAAGTACTTACCTAATTAGCATCAAGTATGGTCCCCGGTCCAATTAAGACTGACAAACGTACATGCAAAAAGTTAAAGGGTGTTGTGATTTTGTATATACTATTTAGTTTTTTCTGCGACACGAGAGGTGAGTGAAAATTATTAGTATTCTTACATACAAAATTGTTTAACAATATACGAATATTACGTAGACTTAAATAGTTTTCTAATATTAAAATGGTAATCGTCTTTACAAACAATTAAAGAAAGCCAAAACGTGAATCGTGTCCAAAATTTAATTATACGCACTTTGTGAGAGTACATTCATTATTTTTTACCTAAAAAAGTACATACAGCAAAATGTTTTTTTTTAATTTTAATAATAATCGCGTCGTATTTTGACAAAGGTTTATGATAATATTATTTTAATGGTTTAAATAAAATACATGATACTTATAAATAAAAAGTGATTTACTAAGTACTTCGGGTGGATAAATTAGTCCAGTAGGTTTGATTTTAGGACGGAAAAAATTCGCACTTCTTACAAGATCTGTTACTTATTTCTTTAGAATATTATTGATGTTTTTAAAAATGTTTGTGTTAATTAATTTTGATTAAGTATTACATGTAGTATTGTATTAACTGTGACAATTCTCTTATTATAATTTAATTCAATTAAAACAATACTAACTTATAGAACATTATATTTTTTTCTTGATATGAGTAATTAACGTTAAAGATTATTTCCATAATCGTAAGTAAAAGTTGTGTGTAAAAGGGTAATTATTATTTTTAACTTATTTTTAACAATTACTCGTATTACGATAGAATTTAATTTGAAGTTTTTATCAACGATGAATAAAACAACTGATGGTGAAAAATCGCCTTAAAATCCGTTGCGAGGTAGATATACAGAGAGATGCGGAATGCGGCCGTATTGAATATTATCTAAACACATGTGTTTATTTTGAAGATATAAACGTTGATTCGATTGTTATATTTGATTACGCATTCAAATCAATCCTTTCTATGAACCAACTTTTTTTTCATCACTAAGCCCAAAGTCGTGCGCCGCGAATCAAGGAGCATCCTGTGGACACGATTGTCGGGAGAAGCGAACCTGCGACCCTGCGTTGCGTGTCTGAGGGCAAGCCGAAACCAGTTATACACTGGTACAAGGATGGGTCTCCCCTTGCGCCCACAGATAATCCGCACAGGGTGCTGCTCGAAGATGGGCTCCTGTTCCTTAGGTAATTAATTTTTATATTTTTAATGGTTAAAGGGTGGCAAAAAGCCATATGAAGCTGAAGGTAAGCGATCACCATAGCCTATAGACAGTTACGATACCAAAGAAATCCTCTACTGCGTGAAGCCTTGGAACCTTACTCAACAACAGAAACACGACTCCAAAAAAAAAGTTTATAAAAACTTACCTGTTTGGCCTGCGCAGACAAAGGACTTATGTCAGCGGAGGACAAAAGTCCCTGAATCGTGAATAAAATGTCCTCAGAGGACATGTCAACGCACACGATGCATCGTGACTATCGGTATCCAAAGTACCAAAATTTAAAAAAGCGCATGCTATGTAAATGCATACTCTCAGATTACGTTGTGTTGTAATTAACATGAAATTTAATAAAATGATAAGACGTTTGAAACGTGTATACTGGGTCCATTGCTTTAATTTCTTTAAATCGGATCGAGCCATGATCGAGAGCGCAATGCGGACTAAAGTTCGCTATATGAGTTGTTGCTAGGCCTCATAAGTTCTTTTTTTTTGGGGGCTCCTTTTGTGCTGTCTGGTCTGTCAATGTCCTATGTTGTTAGGGGGACTTTTTATAAGCAGTATTTTTAATCCATTGTGTGTATTAGTCGATGCAGTTCTAAGCGATCTATTTCGGTGGACAAAAAAGTCCGCGGACAAAAATCCCTTGTCTGCGCAGGCTATCAATTTAAGATAACGCTCCAACTTAAGACTAGCAGTAGTTCTGTCTTTTGGTGTTTCATATTTTATTAGGATTCACTTGTAATATAAAATCACTTTTTGACGGGCGTAAAGCGCGCAAGATTCGCGTTTGCCACGGAGCCAAAACCTCAGGAATAATTAAAAAAAATACAAAAGTGTGCTTTATACTTTTGAAATGTGTTTTATCTGCAGTGTTCGTGGTAGGTTTGTTGTTTATAGTTTTTATGGCATGGTGCTTCGGCTACTACATATCTAGTTTGGGATCTTCAATTTTTTGTATGTTATATTCATTCATCTATTGGTGAGCGGGAAAACATAAAAATAAATATTCAATGGTAATATTTACTGAATATCTTGTCTATTATTGAAATTCACATAATTGACCATATTTTACTAAAACTGTTGTCTGATATCCATTAAAACATTGAAATTTAATTTAGCCAAACTTATTGATCACAATAAATTATTGAGTTAGTAATTTTGATACGTTACGTAATACTAGTAGTGTCGCGTTATTTAAAACATAGTTTTTGAGTACAGTTAATATCACTTCAAATACATATTAAATGTGTAAAATTTTCATAAATGGTAATTTTTCTTCAGTTAAAATTAAAATAACTTTACTCAAATTTCACTATGTTTCCAACAACACGGCCTACGTACTAGCTATTTAGCATGAAGTCGATGGGGAGTTTGGTATTTTATTTTTAAGTTTGTATGACTAATTGATTACACCGGCTTAGGGTCATGCGTGGTAAGAAGGAGAGTGACGAGGGCGTATATTGGTGCGTCGCACGTAACACCGTGGGGGAGGCGGTCAGCAAAAATGCGACGCTTACCATAGCCGGTGAGTCATCATCATCAGTCTATCAATAACCCCCCTGCTGGGGCACACGCTTTTTTTTGACTGTGTATGCTGTTGGTCGCAGATGACCTACAGTCACCGGGTTTTGGGGACTTCAAGATTCTAAGGGGCCCTCAAGCCGAGAATTGACGAGTGCCTCTAAAGGTATTCCAGGCGGATAGAGTCTCCCCACGGGGGGTCTCCTCTCCGTGTGGAGCCTCTAGACCACTCGAACATGAGGCGCTCGGCTCAACTAGAGGGCGTCTCTGAGCCTCGAACCTCGGCTTTTCTATGGATGGTATAGGGATGGGTCGTGACACACCACGCGGTGCCAATGCGGATTAGTCAATGTAAACGACTGCAGATGCAGCCAGGACCAACGGCTTAGCGTGCTTTCCGAAGTACAGAGGAGAGCGTGATAATAAGTTTTTGGTCAATCATCCAGTGAACGACTATTACGAAAGTTGCTTAACTTCTACGATCGCAGGCCGAACGCACTATTCACTTGCACCATCGAGCTTATATTTTATAAAAGCCATAATAATACAAGTGGGTGCCAGAGACTTCATCTACGAGGAAAAAAATGTTGCTCCTACAAACTTCCACCACCCCCTTTCACCCCTTGAAATGTTGAATTCTGGGATAAAAAGTATCTTATATCCTTTGCTGGGATTCAAACCATCTCCATACCGAATTTCATGAAAATCCGTTCCTCTGTTTAAACGTGATGAAGTAACAGACAGAAAATATTAGCATGGAATACTGTGGGGATGGCTAACAGCAAGAACGCGACGCTTACTATAGCCGGTGAGTAAACCCAGTATTTTCAATGTTATAAATTACCAACCCACTTTTTATACCCCTTCGGAAATGAGGTCATTGTCCTAAATTGAGAAGCGGCCATTTGGTAAACTTATTTTATGACTCCTCTGTACCAAAGGGTTAATGGTCAAACTAGCACGTATTGTGTGTCTGTGTCATTTGTAAAGGAAAATTTTAGAAATACGAAAAAAAAACAGTCCAAATCACAGCAAAAATGAAATGATTCTTAAATTAGGTCGGTAATGGTATTTTTGAGTATAACTTTTTAAAACATAAAACATTCTATGTATCATGTAAAGTCTACTTTATATTTGAATAGACCCAACATTAACCTTAAACAAGATAATTTTTTTCTTGTAAAAAAATCTTCTTTATATAAAAATAAATCTTTCTTTCTTCTTAATATAAAAAATATATAAGACCCAAAATTAGTTTTTGTTTATAGTAACTATGTTTTAGTTCTGCGTGACGAATTTCGGACTGAACCTCGAGATGTAAAAGTAGCAAGTGGCGAACCAGCTTTATTGGAATGTTCTGGTCCTAAAGGAGTGCCTGATCCATCCGTACATTGGATAAAAGATGGACATAGTTTGGATGTCGAACAAATTGGACGGTATGATTTCCTAGTAATTATATAAGAAGTCTAAAAAATCTTAAAACTATATTTATGGGACAATATACACCAAATTTGTTAATTCAAATTAGGTCTTGTTCGTGTTTAAGACAAAATTCTGTCTTTTTCAATTGTTTAAAGTCAAATAGAGACATAGTGCGACAAGGATCTTTATGAATGTGTCAAAAATAGGAACTATCGTCGCCGTCCTTGTAAACGTCATTTTCGGTCATTTGCGTAGACAGTGGCGCCCCCATTGAAGTGTCACTTACATTCATGAAGATCCTTGTCGCACCGTAGAATGAGGTTTAAACACGATTGGCTTTAAATTTTGAATTAAGAACTTTGGTGCAATTAGATCTAAGATAAATATGATTTCTAAGGTTCGGATCAACTTTATATTGTATTCAATTTGGTTCCTCTTTCCAGCATATCCGTAGTGGATGGAGGGAATCTAAAAATCTTCGAAAGTCTACCATCAGATAGCGGTGTGTACAGATGTGTGGCCTCTAATGTGGCCGGCGAAAGGCAATCGCGTCCTGCCACACTGCTCGTGTTACGTAGACCACATTTTCTAGTGAAACCTAATAACATAACGGCGCTAATAGGCCAGAACATCGAGTTTCACTGTCAAGTAAGTTCGAGAGTAATTACTTATATACCTACATGTTGAGGGCTTATTCGATCTTAGGTAGCTGCTGTTATTTTCAAACAAACTCAACACTCCGAAATTTGGTTAAATATCCCTCACCCCTTCTGATATTAAGTGTAAGACAAAACTCAACTTGTCGATCTGAACCATCCTAATCATCCTAGAGAGAGCAGAGTTCCCCAGATTTTCTATTGAAGTACAGATTCTATAAATCTTTATTTTAGGCTTCACCAGAATCGGACGTGTCAGTAATGTGGTCTCGTGATAGTGGTTCTTTGTCACCTTACGCTATTATTCGCCGAGGCTCGCTACGAATAGATCGAGTCAGTGCAACGGATGTTGGAACTTATACATGCAGAGCTGAAAGTCAAGCCGGGAATAGCGTCGCCTCAGCCACACTTACGGTGTACTGTACGTGTGGTATTATTCAAACCTCAATCTTAAAGATAAATTTAAGTTTGTTTTTCGTAAACATTAAATTATATTTTCAGCTTTGCCCCATTTCAAAAGGGTGCCCTCAGATCAAACTGCTTGGGAAGGAGAAGCAGTGTCTTTTCCATGTGAAGCAGACGGCTCGCCGAAACCAATTGTTTTTTGGACCATGGAAGGATCACAAGTAAAGATCGCATCATCATCGCATTCGCCATAAATTTTCAATAGATACCTTTTTCATTAAGATATAATTGTTTTTCAGGAATTAATATTTCCCAAGACGGCGCATGGCACAGGATCTTTGTATTTAGACCGAGTCCTTATACAACATGCAGGCAGACTTACGTGTGTTGCTGTAAGTGCTGCGGGAAGTGCTCTGCATACGGTTTCACTTCAGGTAACTTGCTTTACATTTGTTCATACATATTTAAACTTGAATTCATTAAATAAACTAGATATAAATTTATTATTTCAGGTTTTAAGAAGAGAAGCTAATTCTTTCAAAGGAGACTCTGAATCGTCTTCTCCTTATCCGGAGCTAGGGAAACCTCAAAATCACCCTCCAATGACACAATACGAATTAGTCCAAGCTCGTCGATATTTGCAACAAGATGTATTAGCTTTGAGAAGGGTTGAGGGAATATCTTCAACAACATTGAAAGTCGTCTGGGATGTAAGTTGCTGAAACTTGTCCAATGTATGCAGTCAATAAAATTATGTAGTGAAAAGGCACTTCAATTTTTTTTTACTTATTGCAGGTGTTAACTGATTACAACGAATACTTAGAAGGTGTCAAAATATGGTTCAACGGAACTTCTCTCAATCGAAAATTTGCAATGGAAACACAAATATCACAAGTTTCAAATACGACTTTAATTGATAGTTTAGTAGAGTTCAGCAAATTCGAAAACTTTTCCATGACAACTGTACACAACAGTGGATCGTCTAGTCATGTTTTGACCGGTTTAATGCCATATGCTCAGTACGATGTGTTTCTGATGCCATTCTACAAATTGTTATTGGGAAAACCCTCCAATTTAAAGGCTGGATTTACGGACGAAGATGGTAAGATTTGTAATCTGTTCCTAATTGCTTTATATTATTATCAGCTATAGCCAATTTTTTCATAGCAAATTCTTAGTACAAGCCTATTTAAGCCCAAGAATATTTAAAACAAGCAAAGCTTTCCGTGACAAAAGTTATTCTGTTATCAAATATTATGCAGGTGTTAATGTTGTTAAGTACATTTTAGTTCCATCGGCGGCGCCGCAGAGCCTTTCAGCCGGAGTGATAAATGCGACGTCAGCGTGGATCCGGTGGGATCCGCCGCCCGCACATGCTTGGAACGGTGAACTTTCTGGTTACTTGGTTAGTACTTTTTCGTTTACGATCCGAAATCCATTTAACTTTTCGAAACATAAATTTACATTACGGAAGAATTGTATAGCTGCAATACACTTGTTTTTTATATCTTCACTGAAGTTAGTGATAAATTGATAAAATTTGATTAATGGAATGATGGCTTGGATTTAGAAACATTTAACTGTAACAATCGTCAATAGGGTTCGTGAATAAACTTCTCATTTTATTTTGATGAAGATCGAAGTTAGGGTTGGTGGAGGAAATGGTGGACGTGTAGTCGGGCAAATGTCTTTAGGAGCAAAGACTCGCGCTGCTGCTGCCAGTTCACTACGCGCTGGTGGCCGTTACAGTGCCCGAGCAGCTGCCGTCACCAAAAAAGGACATGGCCCCTTTAGTATCGCAGCACATATACACATGGTTCCCAGTCAGACGCAACGACATTATGTGCAGTAAGTTTTATCCTACGACTTTACTACATACAAAACAAATTCTCGCAATCCTATAATTATCAAATTGTTACAGAACTGAACCGGCTAGGGACAAAGCTATATTGTCAATGTTCCAAGAAACTTGGCTTCTGGCGTTGTGCGTGACTTTATTAGTACTAGTATTGGTTGGCGCCGGCGTAATATTTTATATTAGACAACGTAACTCCAAACAAAGAAAAAGCCATAATTCCACCAGTAAGTTCTTTATAGATTTTAGATTTTGTTTAACAGATTATTTTTTCTTATTTGTATCTAATGATGTTTTCTTTTAGATACTGCTGTTGTAAATGCTCAGCAGTGTTTACTTGGTAAAGAAGCTGTATGGCTTCGCGAAAGACCTACATTTGAAGGTTCTAATGAGCCAAGAATAGAAATCTTGAATTGTCACCAGAGTCTTCTACATAGTGAGTTAATTTTCAATAATTTAAAATAATGTCACCCAGCAGACACGATAAATGTATGAGTTAAATAAATTTTTAGCTGGTCATTCGATTGGGACAATGGCTATGGAAGCGGAGTACACCTTACCACAACATACCAGCAGCATGAATGCAATGCCACAAGAAGATCATAGAAGAATAGCTCCCGAACCATATGCTTCTAGTGCTATTTATACTGAATTAAATTATCAGGTAACTATTTTTACACTACCCTAACTTAAAATAAATAAATAATACTAATGAATTAACTGAATTACCATTCCTTAGTTGCAGAATCATACTGATGCAGAGGACTCTTGCATGAAATGTGCAATAAGTCCAGGTTCTTATGACAATAGCATGGTCCGATCTTATGGAGAAAGTAATCAGTATTCCAATGAAGAATGCTCCACGTGCTGTAGAAGTAGTAGTTCTACATTAACTAAGGAGTACAGTGAGATGACGAAATGTGGTAATGATGCTGATGAGATCCAAGACATGTCTATAGACGACTGTCCGTCATGTAAAACTAACCACTCGAGATCATCAAGTCATCACGACGGTAATAAAGATTGGGCAATGGCAGAAGTGGAATACGATTATCCACAGTGGCATTGGATGGCTAGAGACAACAGTTTCCGACAAGGAACACATGATCCAAGAAATTCAACCGGGAGAAACGATCAAAATTGCAGAATGAATCTGTGTGATATTCTTCCCCCGCCACCATATGAAAGGTATGTACCATACTTTGAATGTGCAATGTGCCAGTGTGCAAATCCTATCACAAAAATCCAAATGTAATTAACTTAGGAATATTTTTAAATTTCTAGACATCTTTCATTTTAGATTTTGTTAATGTTATTAATTTCTTTTCTTTTATTTTTGTATTTTAAATATCCGCCGCTACCACCATTAAAAGTGTACTAAAACTACTAACTAAGAATTCAAATCCGATATATTAGGAAAATTCCTTAAATTTATAGAAAAAATTGAAGTTCTGTTTCTAATAGTTGTTATAAATCTGTTTCCTTTTATTTTTGTTCTACAAAAATACATAATAGTTATTTAGGCCCCGTGCAAAATAATCTTTGAATTCATTTAATTTGATTGTCCACAGAGAATCTCCTTACCGGGAAATGCGTGCATTTGCAAGTCACTCAGGGGCATCAGGTTGTTCAGGACACTCGTATAGGAGTTAATTTGTTTTACTAAGACATGTTATTAAAGGAATATCATTAGTACGTAATCCAAGCAATATTAATAATAAAAAATAGTGAATTTGTAAATACTGTAAAAAAGGTTTGTGAATATTTTGATTACAATAATGATCGGATTGGACTCTTGCACCGTCGCGTGAACTATCAAAAAATTCTTATATTTATTGCAGTAATTCAATCATAGAATATTTTGTTTATTTTACATTTTATCAAAATCATATTTCATAATTTTACAAGCGTGTATTACATGACGGTGTAAGCGTTTGTTTGTGACAGTCTTAGCCATTGTGAGAGTGTTTTCTAATAGACTGCTATTATTTAAGGTAAGCCAATAGGTTTCATCTTTTCTAGTGACTGTGATATAGTATAATTTCTTATTATTATTCTTTTTAGTAATTGTTTTGTAAATAATTCTACAGTTTGATATCCTTATACAATTTTATCATCCGATTCGTATATTTACCCTGGGGTAGTGTTATTATATTATAGAAATAAAAACAACCAATGAATTTTGATTGGAATTTGTACCACGAAAATTCTAAAGCTTTTGTACTGAAGTATTTCTAGACAGTTTTGAATTAACGACTTTTAGGTAGGCTACTATTATATAAACCAGTCAGCATTAATAAAGTAAATAACATTTTCCATTTCCTTTTTATTTTATCAAGGGTGTAACCTATTAGATTAGAATGAAACCCAGCAAAAGTATATTGGTGATACTTTTTTCCACAAATAAAGGTAATGAGAATGGACTGCTTTCCAAAATACTTATCGTATTGCGTGATATTATGATATTCCTTAGAAAGCTTTCATAATAATTGATATAATAGTTTAGTATTTTGTGAGCACAATTTAGTAGATTGATGGACTTGGTAAGTAAGAAAATAATGTTATTGTCACTGATATTTTCAAATGACAACTCATAGGACATAACGCCTTTTTTGACGGTTTACCAATCCGAATAATATATTAAATATTTTGAATTTTATTTGAAAAGGGTCAGTGAACTAAAAATCGTGAGTTGATAAGAGCGGAATTGAATTTGGAAAAGAACGCCAATATTAAATTTTCAGTACACAGAGCTATAACCAAACACCGCCTTTTCAGTTACCAAAGAGTTTACTACACTATAAAACGTGTCGTTACGAGGCAATTAAAATGTTTAACTCCTCTATAAAGTGTGAATAGCCCGTGAATTGTATTTGTTGCAAATTACCTTCTTTTGTTAACATTGAATACATTTGCTTTTTAATCGTGTAACGGTTCTACATAAAACTATCCGTAATGTGTTAAATTCAGCAGTTGCGAGATTTATAAATAAACGTAATATTTATTATTCCATCGTGAAGTTAACTGATGCAACAGGAAAATGTGCTGCTCAGCCACTTGTCCCTTAAGATTGTAGTAGACATATCAACTCGGAAAGGGATCGTCATCGTATCAACTCGAGCCGTGCAATATTCTTAAATGAAACTCCGTACTGAAATGTTGGAATCGTAACGTAATCACCTCACGAAGAAACACTTGCTTGTTGTGGTGTTTTCATATCTTTATTTAGTAGTTAACATCTCCTTTATACAGAGTAAAAAAAAAGTCTACGACGAAAAAACAGTATATTGTCTAAAAATAATTAATAATAGCCACTTTGCACAGGCAGTTTAAACGCGCGCTATTTTCGAACGCTTGAATGTGACGTAATGATACATCTAAACATACAAACAAGATCAATGATCTTGCAAGATACTGTCATTTTGCGTTCCATACCTTCACTGCAGATGAAAGTCGGAACCTATGTCAATCAAATAGACATTATGTTTCATACATTATTGGTAAAAAATTAAATGTCATAGTAAAAAGTTGCATTCGGGGTCTTGGTGGAACGCACCTTTGATATCTACGCACTTATACTTTAATCTCGATGAAATTGGCGTATCCTGTGAACATCACGTTTGTTATATTTTAACATTACAACCGCTCTTGTCGCGTTTCAAAATATTTGAATTTCTCGCAAGTTTTTCGCACTTTTACATCATTAATTTCTTGCTCGAAAATAAATTTTATTAACTAATATTGATGAAGGGACGATTAAAATGAATAGCGTTTTTATAAAAATAAAATGAGGTTTATTTCAATTACATGAATGTTGCCTACTACGTTACGATCCTGATTAGTGTGCGTTGCCATAGGGAGTTTAATTCAAAGAATACGGAACGGCTCGAGTTGATACGGTGGCAATCCCTTTCCGAGGATATGTCTTCTACGACCTAAAGCTTCTTTTTTTTTATGCTAGATAGGCAATGCGTTTGACCACAATCTCACCTGATGGAAAGCGATGATGAGGCCTAGTATGGTACACGCCTGCCTAGAAGATGCCTGTTCACTCTGGCCTTGAAGATGTCCAGGTTATATTGGTCCGGGAAAACAGACCTCGGCGAGGAGTTCCACTCCCTAGCCGTTCGTATAATGAAGGCCGAAGCAAATCGCTTCGTGCGAATGGGAGGAACTTCGACAACATAAGGGTGGAAGCCCTCGCCGCGCCTGGTCGTCCGGTGGTGGAAAGGGGAAGAGGGGATCAAATTATGTAATACCTCCGCACACTCTCCGAAATGTAACCGATAAAACACCGAAAGGCAAGCTACACGTCTTCGGTGGTCAAGGCTCTGAAGATTAGCCTCAACGAGAGCGTCATTGGCTATGAGTCTCTTCGCACGGTGTTCCACCGAGTTCAGTGCATCCAGCTGATACCGAGCAGATCCGTCCCAAAGGTGACAACAGTACTCCAAGCAGGAGCGAACTTGGGCTCGGTAAAGGTTAAGGAGCTGCTCAGATGTAAAGTATCGCCTGACCTTAGAAAGTATTCCAAGTTTTCTGGCAGCGGTTTTAGCAATGGACTCGATGTAGCGACCGAAATTGAGGCTGGATGAGATGTCCATACCCAAGAGCTCGAGATGGTCTTTAACCGGCACGGAGACATTTCGGAAAGTCGGAGTCAGATGGAATGGACTCCGTTTCGTCGAGAAGAGACAGGCCTGTGTTTTAGAGGGATTGAATCCAACCAAGTTGACTTCACCCCAGAGGGAAACAGCTTCTAGGGTTGCATTCACTCCCTCCACCATCGCCTCCCTTAATGATCGGACATCTGCATCAGACTTCACATCAGGCAGATATCTCCCCGAAACTGTGCTGTCGTCTGCATACCCAAAGATACCGGGAGTTAGGAGCAGATCATTGATATGCAGCAAGAAAAGAGTTGCGGAGAGGACAGATCCCTGGGGGACACCGGCATTAATACCAAGCAGATCCGACGATGTGCCATTAATGACCACTCGTATCGATCTGCCCCTCAGAAAATCTGCAATCCAGTTGCAAAGTCCGACAGCGATTCCATATGAAGGAAGCTTGCCAATGAGACTTGCATGCCAGACCCTGTCAAAAGCCTTAGAAATATCAAGAGAAACGGCGAGAGCTTCGCCGCGTTTCTCTATGGCTTCACTCCATAAGTGGGTAGCATACACAAGAAGATCCCCAGTAGATCGCCCACGGCGGAAACCGAATTGGCAGTCACTGAGTAGATCGTTATCTTCGAGGTAAGCGAGGAGACGGTTGTTCAATACACGCTCCATAATCTTACAGAGTATGGAGGTGATTGCAATAGGTCGATAGTTGACAGGGTCGGCACGACTACCCTTTTTGGGCACTGGTTGGACATTGGCAAGCTTCCAGGTTTTCGGAACTTGGCCAATCTCAAGGGATAAGCGACATAGGCGAGTCAGAATAGGAGACAACTCAGGGGCACAATTCCGCAGGACAATAGCTGGAATGCCATCGGGCCCACTGGCTTTATTCACGTCTAGAGTGCTTAGCACTTTGAGTACCTCTTTCTGATGGATGCGAACTTCCAACATGGTAGAAGAACACTGAGGAAGCTTAGGTGGGTTTACGCCAGCAGCATCTAGCTGTGAGTTGTTCGCAAATATAGAGGCAAACAAGTCAGCCTTCTCTTTGGAGGTGTGAGCCAGCGATCCGTCAGGCTTAATTAAAGGCGGCAGCGACGACCGGCAAAAATTGGCTTCGACTGTTTTGGCTAGGGACCAGAAAGCCTTGCTTCCGGATGGAAAGGAGGCTAATTTGGCTCCTATACGGCCAATGTGATCGAAGCGGGCCTTGCGGAGAACACCTTTACAGGACTTGGCGGTACTGCTAAAGGCCTTCTTCAGACTTCGAACATTTGGTGATTTGCGAGCTCGAGCATCCGCCCAGGAGCGATACGCAAAATGCTTAAGCGCCTCTGCTTTAGCACAGTCCGCGTCAAACCAAGGGCGGGCGCTAAACCGGCGCGGTACGTCAGAGTATGGAATAAAGTACTCGATAGCTTGACGCATCACGTCAGCAATGGCATCCGCGCAGCAAGTCGGGTCGTCCGAAGAAAAGCAAGTGCGACGCCAAGGATAAGATGCAAAGAAATGCCGCATCTCATCCCAGTCTGCTGAACCATATCGCCAAACACGCCTAGTTCCGATAGGTTCCGGGTCGCTTGGAGAGTAGACTGATACGGACTTCACCAAACAGTGGTCGGAACTCCCTAGAGGAGACGAAATTACCACCTGGTAACGGTCCGGGTCTGTTGACAGCAGAAGGTCCAGGCAGTTTGGTGTGTGGCCATCAATATCGGGTACACGTGTAGCGCCCTTCACAAGCTGGGAGAGACCTAGCGACATAGCAAATGTGTGCGCTAATCTCCCGGCATGGTCGGTTTTCTGGAACGGGAACAACCACTCATGGTGGTGTGCGTTAAAGTCCCCCAGAACGACTAGCTGCGCACTCGGGTACCTTTGCTGCGCTGTTTCAGCGGAGGCGCTGAGGTACTGAAAAAACCTGGTTGTCTCCATGTTCTCTGTGTGCGACCGATAAACACTGGCATAGAGTATTTGCTCTATACCTGTGTTCACCAGCACCCATAATGTAGAGAAACTGGGATCCTCAAGGTTGCGGAGACGTTGGCAGCAGATGTCATCACGAGCATACACGCAGGTGCC